AAAAAAAAAAAAAAAAAAAAAAAGAAACGAAATGAAAGAACAATGAAACTTAACGAAAAATAATCTAAAATATGGTTAACAGACTTAGAACAACTTGGCAAAAAATACACTTTTACCATACCTCTCGTTAAGATTTATCTTCGCAATAGGTCAAGCTTTTAGACCGCGTCAGCTCACACCGAGATTCTTGTCGCAAATGCAACAGATTTGTTATTTTCAATTGCACTGAGTGGAAAACAGAGCCGACGATCAGCAATTTTATTAACACCTAGCAAAATCAATAACAATTTTAATAAATTGAAATATAAATATTTAGTTATCAAAGCCTCTTTGATAGTTCGCTTCGGTATAAAAGGATACGTACTCGACTTTCTTTGACGGACTTAAAGAAAATATGTTTGGCTTCACAAGTAAAACTTGCTTGTATTCTCTACAAAATTCAGTTTCCGAAAACTTAAATTTGAGTTCAACTTTAAACATGTAATATAATTATGTCACAAAATCTTGGTTTAATATTTTCCTCTGTGTACACAACGGAATTGGTGGTTGATCAGCTGTTTGGTTTTAATAAGCTGGTTTCGCTAGATACCTTTAATGGCACTTAAACAACTGCTTCCAGGTTTTGCATCAAAAAGAGCGGATATGATTGCCGTATATTTGTACAAAGAAATGGAATGGAACAGAACTGTATGTAGCTTTACTTTCTTTTAAATTGATAATAACAATATCAAGACCAAGGTCTAATGCTTTTTATTTTTCTAAGAAAGTGAGAATGAAAAACAAACAATCAAATTTTAGTTACACAGGCGTGTTAACAAAGGCGGCTTACGGCAAATTATGGAAAGGTAAAGTTAGTTATCGAATAAAATCAACAGATAAAGAAGTGAAATTAAGGAAGGGAAGAGAACTGAGAAAGAAGAAAAGAGGGAAAGAAAGAAAATTTTAAGAAAATGCTGACTCTCCATATTTTGACTTTATTTTTCCTTTGATAACTTTATATTCTAATTTGCATATTAGTTCAGTACTTTTTCCCAACGAAAACGAAAAAGAATGACATCGACCGGCCGACARAACACATACCTTTTTCTTGATGTGCAAGGAGGGAGGGGGCGTCTCTAGGTAAATCGCTGGAACAATGTTTTTTCCATTCGTGACGTCGCGTTCCAGCTCTCTGATTTTCGAAATTGTGCCGAATTTGAAGAAGRATAGATTGATAGGGTCCTGAGGGTGGCTCGTATTAAATCGGTAATTGACAGGGATTATTATTTTCTTGGAGGGATTAAGCTAGAGCGAGTGGATGTTGAGAAAGACCTTGGTGACTTTGTCAGATATGACTTAAGCTGGAATGATCATATCGACTATATCTCTTCTAAAGCGCAAAAAATGCTTAACTTACTTTATCGGACATGTAAGGACATTTCAGATATAAAAACTAAGAAATTGCTTTACATAACATGGGTTAGATCACGCCTTGAATATGCAAGCGTAGTATGTTCTCCATATACACAGAGAAATATTTTTAAATTAGAGCAAATCCAGCACAGGGCTAGCAGACTAATTCTTGGTCGAGATCTCTCTGAACATGAGCGTTTACATAAGCTAGATTTATTACCGCTGCAATATCGTAGAGAAATAGCTGATTTAGTGTTTTTCTTTAAATGTTTTAAGAACTTGTGTAGTGTAAATATCTTAATTTATGTATCATTTCGCTCTTGTAATCGACCTCTTCGAAACTTGACCATCTAACGCTTACTGTCCCTCTTACCCGGACAGAAACTTACAAGAATTCATTTTTTATTCATATATGTTGTCTGTGGAATGATCTTCCACTTAATATTAGGGAGTCATGTTCTCTATCTGTTTTTCGTAAGAATTTATTGACGTTTTATCGTAATAAATTTCATGTAAATTTTCTTAGTTAATTTAACTTTAGGTTATATTGTACTG